AATTTTGCATCAATAGGAATAAAATCATAATTACAAACAAATGAATACAAATTAAAACCAAGGTTCAGTTTGGAAGAAATACAAATACAAATATGTAGAATGTAAAACTTATATCTTGTATTATTTTGTATGTATTTATACTATATATTTGTATTTGTATTCTTTCCAAACTGAGCCAAAGTAAAAAATTGTTTCTTTCCCTAATCAAATACAAGAAAAAAAAAGGAATAAATTGGGCCAACTCTTGTGCTTGTGCAATTTACATTACTAGAGCAATTTTTATAGTAAAAATCAAAATAGAAATATGCCACAACGACGCGCAATTAAAGTGTACAAGGCCACTCCGACTCCGTCACTGGCGCCAAGTGACGTGTTGGAAGCAGTTATTTATTTGGTCACAAAAACACCCTCAAATTTTCTCTGCATTGGCTAAATTACCCTTGGTGCTCTTACTGATTAGACGTCATAACTCATAAACGCGGGAATAACTTCCAACCGCCACTGTTATCGAAACTCAACTATCATTAGGACTGCTTTTTAGATACAAATGGGTGTATAAATGTACTTCCAAAAAACGTGTTGATTCTCTTCTTGAAGCTCTACTTCTCGACTGGGCTTTCTTGTTCGATCGATTCTTTCATTCTCTGCTTTCAGCTTGTAGTTTAGAGCGGTATTTTCTGATTTCTCTAACTGGGTTTTTCAACTTTGATTATCTACTCTGCATCATTGTTCTCTGCTCTCTCTCTCTCTCTTTCTCTCTCTCTCTGGTTTCTTTCTTCTTAATGCTCTCTGTACGTGAACCCTACACGGGAGTATTTTGAGCAAAGGGAAGGCCGCAACAGAAGCTGCAGAGAATGATTGACGGATATGGAGGTTCAGGGGCAGACATGGATCAGAGGTGCAACGATCGGTAGAGGAAGCTTTGGCACAGTTTCTTTGGCAACCAGGAAGAAGCGTAGAAGGGTGTCAATCGGCCGGTTTTGGGTTGGACCCAATCCGATCCAAACCTTATCAAATCGGATTTGGACGGTCTATATAATTATTGGATTGGGCCAATCCAAAATAAATTGATTCATATTCTTATTGGTCTGAATTGGACCTAAACCAAATTTCCAATAATCCGATCATGAGGCCAAACTCTTGTCCAATTTGAAATCGATCAAAACTGAAGCCAGTATAAAATCACTTTTATGAAAGTACTTTTCTGAAAGCATTTTTATAAAAGCACTTTTACAAAAGTACTTTTACACGAAAATACTTTTACAAAAGAACTTTTATGGAAGTACTTATATAAAAGCACTTTTATGGAAGTACTTTTATAAAAGCACTTTTACGAAAGCACTTTTATGAAAGTACTTTTAYAAAAGCACTTTTACAAAAGCATTTTTATGAAAGAACTTTTACGAAAGTACTTTTATAAAAGCACTTATATAAAAGTACTTTTACAAAAGCATTTTTACAGAAGCACTTCTACGAACAAAAGCACTTTTATAAAAGCACTTCTATGGAAGTATTTTTATAAAAGTACTTTTACAAAAGCACTTCTAGAAAACACTTTTATGAAAGCACTTTTATAAAAGCACTTTTATGAAAACACTTTCAAATTTCATCATTTTAATATATTTTTGTAATTTTTATATGTTTCATTTTTTATATATAATTTTTGATATTTCATTTGGATCCAATCCAGTCCATTCACATTGTAATGGATTGGATTGGATTTGGACTGGATTGGGTCCAGTCCATTTGTAAGTGGACTCACATTGGACTGGATCGAGTTGGACCAAATCCAGTCCAATTGACACCTCTATGCAGAAGCCCATTGCCACCACTAATAGCCGTAAAGTGGGCAGAAGTCTCTGAGTCGTATTCTCTTCAGAAGGAGAAAGAATTTATTTTCAACCTCAATGGATGTCCTCACATCCTTCACTACTTTGGAGACTTTGTCACTACTGAGAATAGTCAAATGATCTACAACGTGCTCTTAGAGTATGGAGGAACAATTAGCTTGGAGCGAAGAGTAAAGCAAGGTGAAGACAAAGGCTTAGTGAAGATATTAGCTACTTGATCAATGGAAGTAATAAATTGAACAATGAAAGATTTCTTTGAAACTTGTTCACGTACAAAGTGGAAATCAACCTCAATGTGCTTTGTACACGCATGAAATACTAGATTAGCAGTAAGATAAGTTGCTCCTAAATTATCACACCATAAAATAGGAGGTTCTCTATAGGAGACACCAATCCCAGAGAACAAAGAATGAAGCCATAACAGTTCAGATGTAACAAGAGCTATACTACAATATTCACTTTCAGTGTTCGATCTAGAAACTGTGGGTTGTTTCTTGGAAGACCAAGAAATCAAGTTAGGGCCCATAAACACACAATAATGCATAGTGTGTTTAAGGTAACACAATATGTGTTTGACAACAACCTAATGAACAGTAGTGGGCTTTTGAAGAAACTGGCACACATTGTTTATAGAGAAGGCAAAATCAGGCCTAGTGACTGTGAGATATCGCAATGCACCAACAACACTGCAAAAAGTAGAAGGGTCAGTGAATGGATCATCATCAGATTAAGAAAGTCGAATAGATAATGCCATAGGTGTAGAAATGGGCTTGGCTCCATCCATCTTTACTCGGTGTAGTAAATCCCCAATGTATTTGCATTGAGACAAAAACAAGCCATCAGAATTTTTCAATGTCTCAATGCCAAGGAAATAGTGAAGTGGGCCAAGATCTTTCACTTCAAAGGCATGACCCATAGCTGTAACAAGATCCATAACTTGAGAGGAACTAGAGCCAGTTACAATGATATCATCAATATATATATATATATATATATATATATCAATACGTACAAGACTTGAGAGTTGTTCTTAAGAATAAACAAATAGGTGTCTGCTTTGGAGGCTTGAAAACCAAACTCCAATAAGAAAGAATCCAATTTATGGAACCAAGCACGAGGGGCTTATTTGATTCCATACAATGACTTGCGCAAGTGGCAAACATGAGAAGGAAAATCCTGGCTTGAAAATCTCGGAGGTTGTTGTATAAAGATATCCTCATGTAAATCACCATGTAAAAAAGCATTTTGGATATCCAACTGATGGATGATCCAATTATGTGTGACAGCCAAGCTTAGAATAACCCGAATAGTGGGTTTAATGACATGACTAAAAGTATCAACATAATCAAGTCCAGCCCGCTGAGTGTAGCCCTTAGCAACAAGCCTTGCCTTGTAGCGTTGAATAGAACCATTTGGGTTTCATTTCAAATGAAAAAACCACTTACAACCAATTAAGTTCATACCTAGTTAACAAGGAACAAGTGTCCATGTATTGTTGCATGCTAATGCATTAAGTTCATCTTGCATAGTCGCGTGCCAATTGGGATTTTGAAGAGCCAAAGTGTGTGATGTGGATTCAGCCATTTCAAGAGGACAAGAAGTAGCAAGACAAGTCTTGGGCTTGAAGATGCCACTCTTCCCTTGTGTTATCATTGGATGCATCATTATGAACCAAGGGAAATGGAGGGGTGGAGCTGGTGAGGACAAAGAAGACGAAGATTCGTCACTAATAGCCAATGGATCAGCAAGTGTTCGACAAGTGGATGATGTAGAAGATGTTGGGGATGGAGGTGATGCATGACTGTCAGGCGCAACACTGGTGGATGGTGGTGGTGCAATATTATCAATGAGCTGACGATGAATAATAGGAGGCGGACCAATGGCACACATAATGAGAGATGTCAAAGTGATTGAAGAAAAAGGAAAAGAAGCTTCATCAAATCTAACATGTCGTGAGATGTAAATCCGTCCAGTTGGTATGTGTAAACAACAATAGCCTTTATACTGATCACAATAACCCACAAAAATACAAGAAGACGACCTGAACTCCAATTTGTTTGCATTGTACGGTCTGAGAAGTGGAAAACACTCACACCCATAGACTTTGAGAAACTTATAATCAAGAGGTTTCTTGAATAAAACTTCACATGGAGATTTCATGTTAAGCACCGATGTAGGAAGCCGATTAATAAGCTATACAGCTGCTGTATGGTGTGCTTCCCACCAATAAGAGGAAAGCATAGAAGAATTAGCAAGTAAAGTTAAACCAGTTTCCACCACAGGTCGGTGACGCCTCTCAACAGAACCATTTTGTTCTTGAGTGTAAGGACAAGAGAGACAATGCATGATACATTAGTTTCCAAGAAATTTTTGAATGCATAAAACTCTCCACCTCCATCAAATTGAAAACTCTTAATGCAAATGTTAAACAATTTCTCAATATGGTTTTTAAACTTGATAAACACACTCAAAGCATCTAACTTCTTAACCAAAGGATATAAATCCATTGATATTTCCTAAATGAACGATATTAGGTGCTGGATGTCCTAATCATTCATGCCATTTATTGATTGTGGTTTTCTCGCCCAAAAAAGCACAATGAAAAGAAGTTGCATTTGAGTCCACATTGTTGAGATCAAGATGATAAAGGCCTTCTTTATTCAGTCCTTGCAACAACACTTCCTTGGTCTCCTGATCCTCCACAAGAAATTCAGAAGGATGAAACTCAAAGAAATAATGGTTGTCCCTAGAAAACTTTGCAATTGACAGTAAATTCTTCTTTATACTTGGAACATGAAGTAAATCGTTCAAAACAAATGATCTAGAGTTGGAGATACAAGAAGAACATCCAGTGTATTTAATATACAAACCTGCCCCATTGCCAATGGTGATATTATCTAATCCAAAGTAATCTGATTGTAAATGGAGATTCTCCAATGCAGATGTCATATGATGGCTAGCTCCAGAGTCCAAATACCAGCTACTATCAGTAGGAGAAGAATGTGATGCAGTGTAAGCAGATCCAACAGTTTGGCATTCAACAGGCTTGAAGTCTTTATCAAATTGTGCTCTACACTTGAGAGCAGTATGATTCATTCTTCTACATATCTGATATTTTACCCCTTGGAATGGATTAGTCTTCTTTGATTTTTAATAATCTGAATTTGTTTTGATTTTTTTTACGTCATGCTTAGTATCCTTAGCCTTGTCATAACGTGAAGCAACATTAGCAATAGGATGATAATTATCAAAACACAACTTAGTGTGTTCAACACGAATTTCATGATTCAGTAATAAGGCTTGCATATAATCAAAAGTAAAACCATTAGATCGAACCATAATGATTGTGACCAATGACTCAAAGTCAGGTCCAAGTCTTCCAAGGACATATTGTATAAGTTCTGAGTCAGATATTATCCCTCCAGTGGCTGCTAGGCTATTAGAAATAAGCCTGACTTTTTGGATATAATCAGCCATGCACTGGTTACCTTTCTTAAGGTGTGACAATTCAAATCTCAACTGCATCACCCTTGCATTGGATCTGAATGCAAACAATCGAGCAAGAGCATCCCATATACTTTTGGATGAAGTAGCATGCTCTATGACCTGGGCAAGAACACCTTCTGACAGTGAGGAAAGAATCCAACTTAACAAAAGTTTATCTTATTGTTCCCAATTTGCAAAATCTGGGTTGATAGTCACTTCAGTGCCTTTGTCTTTAACAAATTTGGGCAGAGCAGAGATAGGCTCATCAACATAACCAAGAGCCTTGAATCCTTTCAAGACTGGTATGAACTGTGAACGCCATAGAAGATAATTGTTTCGATCTAATTTGATCGAAATCAAATGAGTAATGGTCAAGGGTAGGTTCAGATTCACAATAGAGGATTGGTTGTTCACTGAGTTTGAAACCTGAGATGATATTGACATATTCACATGTACTTTATATTTGGCTCTGATACCATAAAACAAAGACCAGTTTTTGTAGATCTCGTCTCAGATAAGGCGAGATTAAGAATTGTATATATTTATAAATAGAGGAACTGTACACTTGTCAAAAATTAGAGATACAAAAGATGTTAATTACAATGATAAGAGTTAGTTCTGTCGGTTAAGAGTTAGCTCTACTAGTTGTCCACAAACATTGGTATGCTGTAATTCTATGCTTGAAATCTGGTCATTCTTATCTCCATTATCTGACATGACATGTAACGACACTGATCTTTATCAGGAGCCACCCTGTTTAAGAGGCACGCCTATGTATATGTCGCCAGTATCCATTACTGTCACATTTAGGAGCCTCCACGTGATTGTATGCGCTCTTGGTTGCACTGTACTCGAGATGCTTAGTGGGAAGCTAGTATGGAATGATGGATCAGAGTCTGAAGATGAGGACCATGACTCACCTTTGATACCAGAGGAGATATCAAAGGAGGGGAAGGATTTTCTGAAAAGATGCTTTGTGAGGCCCAGCTTCAGGTGGACGGCTGACATGCTACTACTTCATCCTTTCATTGCAGAGAAGGCGCCAAGCACTGCAGAAGGAGCGAGTATAGAAGTTCAAGGAAGAAGAATTGGAAGACCAACTACTGGAAGTGTAAGGAAAATGGCAAGGGTTTCGACAGCCTAAAAGTGGGAAATATATAGACAGAGTGAATTGTAAAGAAATAGAAGGAATGAGAGAGAAAATCTAAGTGGGTAGCTTTTCTTAATCAAGGAGAGAGATTTTTAACTATAAATCAAGAGATTTTTACAATTCTTTTTCTTTTACTTTTGGGTGTATGAAGATTGAATTGCATTAATCGATTCATTGTAATTCTCTGTAATTTGATTGATATAATGAAATTCTTTGTTTTCTTTCACTTTTCCTTGGGCAGGTTTTCTTGGATTCTGATAGAATAGATTTTTGTGACATTTCATGGATACAAAATGCAATAGTTCTTTACTCGCGAAACATTTTGGGGTTGCGTTGGATCACACCTTTTCAGATGCCAAGAAAATGAAATGATTTAACTATACTCGCTTCTTTTGTACTAAGATTTCGGATGCCAAGAAAATGAAATGATTTCGGATGCCAAAGGGATTCGGATGCCAATAAAATTAATAGATCCAGTCCTGGTTTGTAATAAACATTTGTACTAAGATTGTTTTTGGTTTACTAATGTTACGACGCAGTTGTCTTATGTTGGTAGAATGGGATGCTAATGTGAGGTATCCCATATGGGCAGAATGGGATGATGTGGGGTATATATGTGATTGGGTTCCCTCCCTCTAACAGCTAGCTTTTAGGGGTGAATTTTCCTAAGTCACGTATCAAATGGTATTAGAGCCTACATTATTTGTTATATAAATAGTTTATATACTTTATATTAATAAAATATTTATTTTATATATTTATTAATTATTTAAATAATTAATTAATCGAATCGGATATTCGAATTCGGATATTAATTTTCAATATCCATTAAATATTGTATCGAATTCGAATATCGGATTTTCTAATCGAATTCAAATATTGCCTGATCCGTTCGAATTCGATGCATGTACCCTATATATGTGCTTGGGTTCCCTCCCTCTGATCAGAGAAATAGACCATTTCCGGTGCTCAAGAAGGTTGTTTTTCGACCAAAAGATCTGAAACATAACTACGTTAATCCATACCCTGTCAAATCATATGAATGCAAATGACTCACAGCACCACACAAGCAGCACTTGCAATTTTTTTCTGCTACTCTCTGAATTCTCATCAACCATAGAATTTGTTCCAAATGACAAGAATTCCAGAACTATAGCAAAACTGGTGCCAAATTCCATTCCATTGAGATGGATGCAGAAACAAAATGAACCCATTTGAGTTTTACTCTTAACATCTAAAATAATTGAAATTTCAAGGTGGCTTTTAAAAAGGTTATTATAGCATGTTTAGACACAAATTAATGAATTTTTTTTTTATTTGGGAAATTGTCTAAAACTCACCATGAATTTTCAATATTTCTCATAAACCCACAACTTTTGAAAATGTCTAAAACTCACCATGTCAGTAAACTTTTATTTTCCAAAACTCACCTTCTGTTAGTGCACCGTTAATGCTTCTTAAGAGAGGTGTCCATGTCAGCATAAATAACAATTTTCATGACCAAATTACCCTTGAATGGTGAGTTAGAGGAAAAATGGTCTTTTTCATTTTTCAATTTTCTTGTTTTTTTTTTTGCATTTTAGTGTTTTGTCATAATTTTCAATGTTTTTTATAATTTCTTTTGTTTTACAATTTTCTATTTTCTATAATCCATAAATTTTCCTGTATTTTTTGTTATTTATTTCTATGTTTTTCTATAATTTTTGGTGTTTTTTCTACAATTTTTATTTTGATTTTGTTTTTCAATTTCTATAGTTTCTATAATTTGAAAATAATTTTTTATTTTGTTTGCAATTTCTATATTTTTTTATATTTTTTTGTAATTTCTATGTTTTTATGTATTTTATATTTGAAAATATTTTTTTGAACATTTTCCTTTTTTCATGTTAAATATTAAAATGGTAATATATTAACACCCGTTAATTTATATTAACACCCGTTAGTCTGTTTAACGTCAAGTTAGTGACATGGTGAGTTTTAGACATTTTAAAAAGTTTTGAGTTTTAAGAGAAATGCTGAAAACTCATGGTGAATTTTAGACAATTTCCCATTTTATTTTTTGGCACATATTTACCATCTGTAATTATCTATTCATGATTGTAAAAAAATTACTCTGATGTCATTTCAGGTTCACCGAAAATGAAATTACTGGTTATGATAATTTGTGATCAAATGCAATGTGAAAGAACTATGAAAGAGGAAATCCATTTGACGTGACACCTTATCAGGCTAATTCAATGGGCTTACTTTAGATACATTTACATTTTTTTCTTGAGATAACACGGATTTTAACCTTTAAGCCACTGAGTTCAAAAATTAGTATTTCTTAAGTAATAATTTCTTCCACCATTTCGCATTGTTGGCCAAATTCTTAAGCCATAGTTCACATAAACCACTAGATTATGTTATTTTTTCCAAGTATTTATACCTTATTATGGCCATGTGAGCGCTATTTATGTATTTATGGGATTTATGAGCTCCCCTGGTGTATCTAACCTTATCATTCCACCGTATACTCGACGCTCTATGATAGTGATACTACGAACCTTGCATAAAATAAAGAAATTTTCACCACGCACTAAAAAAGCACCACTTCAAGATAAAATAACCAAGGGGTTGAGAGAAAACGTCCCCAACTGCTGTCATAAAGAAACAAGTGATCATCCCCATTCAGTTGCTATGGCAAAAACATTTTCCTTGCAGTAAATTAAAAACTGTATAGAGACTAATACAATACAACTAAGAAATCATTTCTCCAGTCTAATCTATAATTTCTCCCTCTTCTGCCTCAGATTTCTCAAGCTCCTCTCTGGCACAATCTCTCTTTCCTACATGCTTATAAGCCATATTTTCAACCTCAACATCATGTTTGCCATCATCGTCACTGCTGCCATCACCATCATCTCCGTTATCTGCCAATTGATCATTTGTACCTTGCAATTCCTGAATTATGGAATTCTTACTGACCAAAAGATCATCATTTGTTTGATGTGAAGGTTTCTCAATAACTTCCTTCTCACTCACCATGTCTTTAACTATAACTGATGGGAACTCCAAAGGCTTGTCAGGGCAATTTTTGAAGAAAGAATTCAACACCATGAACCTGAACACTTGTAAGAGATGACTCTTATCTCTCTTAATGTCTGCACTAAGAAGCTTCTGCAAAAGAGTCGGTTTACTCATCTTCAAAGCAGGTTTATTAGATAAATCCTTGCCTTCTAACTTTTGCTTCTTAGCAAACCGGCGATCTTGACCATATCTTCCTCTTTTACCATGATTTCGTAATCTCCCTTTCTTAGCAAACACCTTTTTGTCCTCTTCCCCTTCACAAACCTGCCTATCCGGCTCTGACAGATATTCCGGGGGTATTTCAGCAACTTCAACACCCAACTCAGCCTGCTTTGCAAGAATTTCCTTTAGTTGCTGCAAGCAAAGTTAACAAGTTAATCAATGAGAGAAACTATAAAGAGATTTCCAAGATCCCACATTTTAGATACTGCTATTGAATGGGAGAGCTACCAATCAAATAAAAGAAAAAATATAGCACTAAAATCTGAAGTGTCAGACACAATGTCATTAAATATGAGAGCAATTGTAAGAGACTATTATTCAAAATAAAGTAGTTTTCAGTCAAATACAACCATGTAGTTAGGAGAATTTTTGCATTTTATCCCATGCAAAAAGGACAATCAACTTTCTGAATTTTGCCCATTTCAAACACTAGGACATAGACATACTCATCATTACAAGTTCTCAAAATCTTATGATTTAAGATACAATTCATGATTTGAATCATGAATCGCACGGGTTTTGATTCAAATCTTATGTCTGAATTCTTTTCTACAAAAATCTTACAATTTTCATTTGAATCCTACAATTTGATTCATAAATTTTACGATTTATATGATTCCTTCTATATAAAATCACTTCAATATCAAATTAGTTCTTTACTTTGTCATTTTGCTTTATTTATATTTTTGCTAATGGTGACTTGTTTCAAAGACTACTAGAAATTGATTTATTGCAGTTATTTAAGACCATATGTTGAGTTTATTTTCCATCATATGTAGGATAACAAGCCATTGTATGTAAATTATTAGACTTTCAAGTCAAACTTGATTATGCCATCTTAGACTTCTATTGTGCAAGTGGTGAATTCTATTATTTTAAGTACATATATGGTAGATATAGATTAAAATAGGGTAGAATCTTTTTAGTATATCCGCATTTTATTTTTTGACAAGTTTTTAAAAAATTTAAATAATTATATTTACGATTCAACTTTCTTTACAACTTTACATTATGATTACGATTTTTAGAACATTGCTCATCAAACATGAGATAACTTCATTTATTCAAAAAAAAAAACATGAGATAACTTCTATTTTAGAAAATCATAATTAATTTATATACCAACCACATCTTTGCTAAGTAACAAAATTAAATCAACCAAGTTAATTTGGAACAAAGTTCAGGATTTGAGATCTGAAGGTTGTTTGTTTGATTTACACTACTGCATTTCCTAGAAATATTGAGACGGATGAGTAGGAAAACTAGAAAAGATAGGATTGCAAATGAACATATTTGTAAGAAAATGAGAGTGACCCCCATAGGTAATTAAATGGGAGAAAGTAGAACAAGATGGTTTGTCCGTGTACAGAAGGAGCATCTACAGCCCAAGTAAGAAGTGACCTTTTGTAAGTTGAAGAGTCAGGAAGAGATAGGAGCAGGCCAGAACAGGCTAGTGAAAAACGATTTGAGAACCCATAATTAAGCAATAGATATAACAGTAAATAGAGTGGAATGGCAGAATAGGTTGGATGTAGCCAATACCATATAGTTGGGACAAGGCTTTGTTGAGTTGAGTTTAGTTTATGAGATGAACTGAAAGGAAATATCCACATTCCAGATTTGCTGAGGCTAGTTTTTCTGGTACCTAGTATTCAGGTATGACACTGCAAGGTAGAAACCACATGAATTTCATACATTCCATAAGGTACCCATCTGACAGAAAGCCTAGATTAAAGACCTGATCCATCATTCTGTCAGCCTCCCCAAGTGTTATTTCTTGAGATTAAAGAATATATGTACCTGACGGAATGCTTTGGCATCTCTATCAGTAACTTCAGCATTTTCAGCTTTCTCAGTCAATTTCTGCAATATGCACACAGGATTTAGGGATGCCTGTTTATGGTTCATATATAAGAACAGTCAATCAAATTAAAGCAAACCTTCTCAATGTTAGCTCTGGACGGGTAGTTCCTTTTGCGTGCTTCACGCCATTGTTGGATTTCTTGTTCCGTGTAGTTCAAAGGAATAAACCTTCATTTAAAAAAGTTTAAAAAAAAAAGTCATCATAAGTAATTACAAGTATCTAAAACAAAAAAGAAAAACAAATGGAGATAAAAATAGAAGAAAAGATTTATGAATAACAAATCTTTGTGAATCATTTCAAAACACTCTATGAGAGTCCAAGGAGGTTTAGAGAAAACTTAGAAGACCTGGACTGAAGGGTTGGGAACAGAGAGCTGTTGAACTCCTTGGAAAGGAAATTTGAGGTTCAGGAAGTCAAAAATGCAGTCTTCTTCATGGCGAGATCTAAAGCCCCAGGACCTGATGGTTTTACGATGGCTTTCTATCAAGATTGTTGGGAAATAATTGAGGGTGACTTGATGGAGGTTTTCGATGAGTTCTATGAGAGGGGCAAATTTAACTCAGGTGTAAATGCAACCTTCATCGCTTTGATACCAAAGAAAGTGGATGCAATCCAGCCGAAGGATTTTAGGCCCACAAGTCTGATAGGTAGCATGTACAAAATCAATTCCAAGGTTTTAGCCCTAAGAATAAAATATGTTCTTCCCTCGATGATTTCTCCAAATCAAGGGGCTTTTGTGTTTGGGAGACAAATAATTGATCAAATCCTTATTGCCAATGAATGTGTAGAGGTTAGAAGAAGGAAAAAACAAAAGGGATTGGTGTGCAAATTGGATTTAGAGAAAGCCTATGACATGGTGGATTGGGAATTTCTGTTGGAGATTCTTAAGCGTAGGGGTTTCGGAGAGAGATGGTGTAAATGGGTGAAGGGTTGCATTACTTCACGTCATTTTTCAATTCTGGTAAATGGAGCAGCAAGAGATTTTTTTTCCTGCCAAAAGGGGCCTAAGACAAGGAGATCCTCTATCTCCCTTTCTCTTTACTCTGGTAACTGATGTGTTGAGCGAGTTGATCATAAGGGAAGATGCCAACAATATGATTAAAGGCTGGAGAGTTGGAAGGGATGAAGTGGTGGTTACACATTTACAATTTGCAAATGACATTATTATGTTTTGTGAAGGGAAAACAGAAGAACTCATGAACCTAATAAGGATAGTCCATAAATTTGAGAGGATCTCTAACCTAAAGATTAATTGGGGCAAGAGTTGTGTGGCAGGAATAAACTTAGGAAGTGAAGAGGTGATTCGATTAGCTGGAACATTGGGGTGTGAGGTAGGAGATTGGCCATTACAAGATCTGGGACTACCTTTGAGAGGAAATCCTAATATGGATAGTTTCTAGTACCTAGTGATTGAGAGATTTACAAAGAGACTTGCGAATTGGAAAAGAAACTACATTTCTTTGGAAGGTAGGATAACCCTGAAAGTAGCAAACCAGCTAGAGAAGTGAGACCACCTAGTGAAGTGAGAGGTGGTTTCTAGAAGTAGAGATGAAGGGGGACTAGGAATAGGAAATCTTAGGCTAAGAAATACAACATTATTGGGGAAATGGCTGTGGAGATTGCCTTTGGAACAGGACAGACTTTGGCATAGAGTGATTATTAGCATTCATGGATTGGCAGACAATGGTTGGGATGCAGGAGTCGACCCCAGGGCTTCCCAGTGCTCTCCCTGGAAGGCTATTCATGGTATTTTACCTTCATTCCTTCCTTATGTTAAATTTGATGATTGTGCAGGAAATAAGATCTTGTTTTGGGAAGATGCTTGGGTTGGAGACATTCCCCTTAATGAAAGATTCCCTTTTATTTATTCTGAAAATAAGAGAAAAGTGATCTCTTCAGTCTTTATTGATAACTCTTGGGGCTTGGGTTTGAGGAGAGGTCTAAGGGAGTCGGAAATGACAATGGTGGATGAATTAATTAACCTTCTAGAGTCAACTTACCTAGATCAATCTTGTGTGGACAGTAGAATTTGGAAATCTTCCCCTTCTGGTGTGTTCACTTGCTCTTCCTTTTTTGATATCCTCATTCAATCATCAAACCCTGTAAGGAGCTTTCCTTCAAAGGAGATTTGGTGTCAGCCTGTACCCCCAAAAGTTTGGGCTTTTTGTTGGGAGGTGGTTATCCGAAAAATCAATACTCTAGATATGTTGCAAAGAAAAAGGCCAAATGTTTGCCTATCACCCCATGTTTGTAACCTCTGCTTGGGATCTGGTGAGACAACCACACACCTATTGATTTCTTGTCCATTTGTATGCTTTATTTGGACTTGGTTCTCTTCTATCTTTGGTTGTAGGTGGACACCTCCCCCAAATGTGACAAGCCTTTTTGACCCAAGCTTTTTCAGCCTTTTTGACCACAAGAGCAGCTCTCTTATGGTCAGTTTGGAAAGAAAGGAACAATAGAATCTTTAAAGGCGTGGAGAAATCCAAGGAGGCAATTGTAGAAAGGATAATTATTATGACTATTCATTGGTTGAAAACTTTGGATTTGTTTAAAGACTTCTCAGCTGAAGACATTTACAGGAATTGGGAAGTGGTGGCTTCTACAACTTCCATGAAACCTATTGTGCAGGAATTGTGGTCCCCACCAACACAACAAAGAGTGAACTTGAACTTTGGTGGGAGTTCAAGAGGTAACCCGGGCCCTTCAGGTATAGGAGGAGTTTTCAGAGATGGAAATGGCAGAATTGTGGCTTTCTTTTTAGTACCAATAGGAGTGGGGGACTCATTGAGAGCGGAGGTGATGGCCTTGCTTCAAGGTGTAAGATATGCAAAACAGTTGGGGTTACACCAAATTGAGATTGAGGGAGACTCTAAATTGTTGAGTGAGTGGCTGCAATCTGGTAAGTTGGGAGCCTGGATTTATAGACAGCCCATAAGAGAAACCCACAACATAACAAGGGAGATCGGTGCGTGCTTCAAATGGACAAGGAGATCAGCTAATGGTTTAGCTGACACGTTGACTAAACAAGGGACTGTGAGGGAGAGTATGTTTTGGGCAGTTTTGTAAGAAAGATAACCGGGGGCTCAACACCTACTTAGGGGTTGACAGCTGTACTTAAATCTGGAAAGTTATTTAACGAAGTTACCGTTTCCAATCAAAAAAATAAATAAATAAATAAATAACAAAAACACTATGTGAAAGGAAGGATCACATGCAATAGCTCCATCAAACAAGAAATTTATTCATTAATCAAGCCTAGGAACCTAATGATTATCTTTAAATAGATTTAGTAGTTTATTCAGTCAAACAATGGAGTTACAGAGGGTTTCTATCACATTTCCTGCTATACTTTGTTCATTAGATTTCAGGTCATTGTTCCACTTCAAATAGGTGGTTAGAAATGTAGATTTAACAAAATTTGTTCCAGGAAAAATCTCCTTCTAAGAACATGGGACATAGACTTTTCAGTACCTTTTACATTCCACTTTGGCTTGTTTGGTAGAATTAGCTGGATGAGATTTTCTCACTCCCTCATTGCCACTTCCTGTCTCCAACAACAAAATATTTCAGACCATAATCAAAATTTCATCATGTATATGTGATCAGGCAAGACAGAAAAGTAAACTGGGGACACAAGAAAAACAAAATATAGGATTTTCTATGTGTATCAAATGAATGCATTTTATTTATTTAATTAACTATTTATTTATTTAATTGTTTATTTATAAATGTATATAGACAATCCATTCGTAGAAACTTAGGAGTAGCTCCACTAAGTGCTAAAATGAGAGAGAGTAGGCTAAGATGGTTTGGCCATGTGCATAGAAGACCACCAACATCTCCAGTTAGAAGAAGTGATTTCTTAAAGTGGAAGGGGCTAGAAGAGCTAGGGATAGACCAAAGAGGACATGGGTAGTAGTAAGGCTTGGATGATGATGAATGTATATAGCCATGTGAGTGTGTGTGTGTGTGTGTGCACGCACGCACGCACAAATAAGAACAAGCTGCTATAGAGTCAAGAAAAGGCCGGCTATCTTTCTATTCAAAAGATATAATAATAAAAATTAGAAATGAAACTAATGAAGACCCAAGTGGTTTTGGAAAAATATATGAAAAATACTACAACAAGATAACTTTAAAAATAGCCAAATCTTGATATCATACCTGGAAAGCTCACTGATACTATAGTTTACTAGTACATAGCATGTCCTTTGCACGTGGATGAGTAGGTGTCTGGGACTTGCGAGAGCTCTTTTATATTCAAACTAAAGACTGGCTGGGGKAACGGGTTACCTACAGGCATTCCTCTAGAGGCTTTATGGGTCCCAAGGGCATTCAAAAACAGTGCTTCATACATACCTAGATACACACAGGCACGTGAGTGAAGAAAAGGTGTTGGAAGAGTTGTTTTAGATTTAGAAATAAGTGGCATTACCATGAAACCACTTGGCAAAGCATCTTTTGACACTGTATGCTAAATAAGTTTGAAGTAAAGACTGGCTAAGGGCTAATGCATTTCCTAGAGGCATTCTTCTCTGATGATTCAATGGATCTTATGGAGATCTCAAAATAGTACTTGCATACATATTCATAAATACATGCATATATGTAGTATATGTTTAAGAAAAAGAGAAAGGGAAAGAAACAGAAAGGAGGGGAATAATTTGTCTTTAGTAGGGTTCTTACTTTAGTTTGATTATATTTTGTCATTTTAGATTTCATAAATCTTTTAGGATAAAACTTAGTGGGGGAAAACATATAAACAATATAAAAGATACTCAAATATTACAGGTTTCTTTATCTCTCTGCTGTATTTCTAGTAGTCTGTGCTGCAAGAGCACTATTGTAATTTTATCTCTTATTTGCTGCCGCTCTAATATAAATAAAACACTAGGTGCTGCCAGCCTAGTTTTTTGAGTCTCTAAATGTCTCTCTTCTCTTCTTCCTCCTTCCCTCTTCTTCTCTCACTTTTCTACTCTTTTTCTACTAGATAATACTTTCTTAGCCTCCTTTTTCTTTTTTTTTTCCTCTTTTTCCAAGTATGCAGGGTGATTTAAGACCACCAGTAGATAGTTATTAGCAATGTTATCATACTCAGACAAGACCTGATGGTTGAACCAGTAACTTGGTGACCTGGTAACCTTTTCAGGTCTCAGGTAATTGACAATTATCATGGTAATGAAATAAGCAGCAGTTAACCAGTAAAACCATGGCCCAGTGAGTTTTTTTTTTATCAATAATTTTGAAACTTTTATTGATTAAAATACTTTAGGATACAACAATAAGTTACAAAAGAAATCAGCATAGTAAGCTGACCCAGTACAGAATTACAAGTGTGCCCAAAACATATCTGTTCTGTGAACCCCTTGCTTTGCTAAGCTATCTGCCAAACTGTTGGCAGATCTCCTTACCCATCCCACCCTGAATTGACAAGTTCCTTGACATCCATTTAAATCTTCTGAATTCATTCTTCAGCCATCGCCCGATGAGTATTCCGATTTTTTTGTCCAATCTGAGTTGGACAATATTGGTTATTAGGTTCTGAGAACGGAATATTTGGATTGAGAACAAGAATAAGGTCTTGAAAATAATGTAAGCAGGATAATAAGAATCAAAGAATTATTTTGATTCTTTTAATTATGCGGAGTGAATTCTCTTCAACTGATTATGTGATGTCATCCGTGCCAATTATCAACTTCAATACTGTCATAGATACACTTATAATACTACTTATACAAAATCAAGAAACTAGTAAACATGGTAAGGAAACACAAAGCCTAAACCTTTTCCCCGTTGCCTGTTAAAAGTCCTGAAGTTTCCCTTTGCAGTTGCCATGGGATGATTGCTGGATTTCTGGAACCTGCATAAATGTAACTTCAGTTTGGAGCATATGGCACAGACTCAAATCTTCCATAAGAATAAAAAGGAAGAAATTCACAAAATATTATATGAAATATACTTGGGATGTGCTGAATCTCTTTTCCAAGATTCATGATAGTTCCTTCTGAAGTTCTTGCTTTCAGGATTCCCCTGGATGGTGTTTGGGATATGATTTTCTCTGCCTTTAGCATGATTCCCCTGATAATTTCAAAAACATGTCAGCACTATGTGTATGTATGTTTGAGAGAGAGAGAGAGAGAGAGCCAAATGTCCAGAGTTAGATACCAGCATAGACAACTTACAAATGTTTTGCAGATTTTTTTTTCTTAAAGGGTCAAGAAATTGTGATGTTCAGACAGCATTGGCAAAGAAAAACAAGCAGTAAGCTTCCTGGACTTGCACATTAAGATTTTTTTTTTTTTTGAAAGTTTGCACATTAAGATGGATTTGACCTTTAAAAAGTTAAAATTTTATGCTTTAAGCACCATAAGGCATGTCATTTACTTAAATATGAAAAGGAACCAAATTTTGTTGCATCACAGACGAACTGAAATTGATCCAACCAAATATTTAAATGTTTTTTTTTTATAAGTGAAAATTAATTCATTAATCAAATGATGGATCAGTTACAAATAAACCCAGAGAGAGGCTCGAGGTGCAGCCTCGCTCTTAAGAAGATATCAGATCTACAACAAAATACAAATAACCCACTAGAAGATAGATTAAACAATTACAAAGCTACCCAGAACAGAGAATCCATGTTAACCCCTTGTTTTGCAAGAGAATCAGCCATCTCATTAGCCGATCTTATTACCCAGAGGATGTTCACTATCATATTTGTTAACCAAACCACCTTCTTAAGGAAATCTCTTAAGAACAATCAAGTAATAGCTCATTTGTTTAAATGATTATTCCTTGTTTAAATGCTTATTTGAACATAAAAGATCCAATCAGGTAATAGCTCAACCATCTGTTTACAGAGTCCTCTTTCTCATACAAACTATTAAAAGGAAATTCACTAGCTAAATTAAACCATCCAAGCAAGAGTCCAACTATGGTGCATTCCAAAATTTTTACAGCATGTTACATCAAAATTCCAACCCATCATCACGTTAAAGACGTCACATGGTCTATTTACTTTTCATTGGTTCATATTCCACAAGGTATATTTTCACAAGCCACAAGGTATACTTATCATTAAAGACTTTAGCAACATTAAAAATGTCACTGTGATGTGTCTGTCACTTCATCACTGGCTAGTTCACATTTAAATTATGTTGCAGCAATTTCCATAGAATGCACCATATATTTTTCTTCTAAACAAAGCTTGTCCACAGATATCAAATATAAATAAAGTTGACTCTACCATTATGGCAGTCTCTAATGAATTTAGTTGAATAACACAGATATCATATCAGCTATGTACAACTACTCTAGCAGGAATTCATCTACCATAATTCACAGGTTGCTTCTTCCTTGTTTCCTTCAACCTTTAATATATAAATCAGGAATTCATTTACTTACAGACAAAAGCAAAGAACCTTCCCTAACCCACCACTGAAAAAAAAGAAGGAAATGACACGAACTTTACCAAGTATGAAAGCAAGCTGCTCAATAAGGGTCTTGGAAATAAAGCCAAGCCCCAAAAAGAAGTTTATACATGAAAAAAGCTCCCACTATGGAAAACCCCCTCCCTCAAATAGAACCACCAATTTTAGCCTAACTGTCAGCTGAAATACTATATTCTCTTAGAAAACACATGGAAAAAAATGGTAAGAACATGAACCAATGCTTTTATCTCGAATGCACTGACCAGTTTTCATGCCTAAAGCCTCTCTCCCATCTGAGAGTATTGCTTGAATTGCCTTCCTCCACTAGCAGGCATACTCTAGGGGTGCAAGTTAGGCCTGGTTAGGTCGGGTTTAGGTCAACACTGATCCAACCCAAGTTGTTGAACTCCTAACACTAATCCAACCCAACTTCTTCGGCTTGGACTAGGATTGAACTGGGTTTGGATTGGGCTGGTTTCTTGCATGTAAGAATGCACACATATTTATATAATATTCATAAATACAAATATGAAGGCAGTGTCAGATTCAGATCGCCCAGGGCCTCAACCCTAACCATACCCAAAGTTAAGTAAGATTAATATTTTTCAACCCTAACCCCAACCCAAACTTCAAACCCACCCAACTTATTGGGTTTGGGCCAACCCAGCTCAAGTTGTACCCTCGTACTCTCCCTGACTTGTGCACCCAGAATTTATAGGAAATCCCCAAAACATAAAAATCTATCTTGTTGAGTAAAAGTGTCGCCAGTCTCCTCATCTTTTTTATGCTACATCCCAGTTTTTTCACATACGACAATGAAATGTCTCCAAATAAAATATCTTTATAATGTCTGGTTTTACATCAGAACTCCCGCCTACTACAGGAGCATTATTAACCTACTTATTGCTGAAAGCCTCTCTTTCTTCTCACGCATCATATGACTGAATCATGAACAAACATAACAACCACCTGAGCTATTCTATCGAGAGTTAATAACAGATCTACATGGGAATCTATATTCAAGAATTTTTGAAAGGTCTAATTAGCAATGTGTTTCTTTTGCAACTTTTAAGAGAATGAAAACAAATATTTTCAATTATCTACCCAGAAACCCCATCAAAGGTGTACATCAATCTTTCTTAGTTGTTTGTCTATCTCCATGCCTGGATTGCCTAATGTACTCCCATTTATTGCTTCTGAAGAACAGTTAGCTGATGTCTTGACAAAGTTCTAATTAGCAATGTGTTTCATTTGCAACTTTTAAGAGAATGAAAACAAATATTTTCAATTATCTACCCAGAGACCCCACCAAAGGTGTACATTATGTTCTTCAGAAGCAATAAATGGAAGTACATTATGTTTTTCCTGGATTTACAGGAAAAACATAAGAAAGGTTGAGAGTATTGCAAAGGTGTTTGGACCACTTTCAGATGGGTTAAGAGAACCGCAAATGAGATGGCTAATTCATTAGCAAAGCAAGGGGTGCTTGGGGAACAACTATTCTGGGCAGAGATGTAATTTGGATTGTATATAAACATAAAGGGTGGCTGGGTAACTAATTCCCAGCTTTGAGTTGTACTTTTAAATATAAATTAATGGAATTACTTGTTACCGATCAAAAAACAAATAAAATTACATAGCATGGAAAGTTGAGGCAATAAAAATAACATCTATTTATTTCAAAAAAAAAAGTATGAAACAAAATGGAGACTAAACCCAAAAAAGAAAAAAAAAATAAAAATGACCAGGACAGCATATCCCAAAATTAAATTCAAAACATAATGGAAAATACTGAACTAGGCACCAGTATCTTGTGTAAAAAAAAGCAAAATGAAGACCATTGGTGGAACAAACGCAAGAAATCCTATCAAAAACAGAATATGTATCACTCAGATGAAAGATACCTGTGACTTCTGGAGATTGACTGATTGCAAATTCATCTGGGATTGTTGCTGTTGGGCTAGACCACAAGCAAGTGACGAAATTCCTTGTAAATGTTGAGAAGCAATTGGTGTCTCTTGCAAGCAATTCTGACCGATGGTAGGTGGACCAGACAAATGATCTTGTTTATTTTGTTGTGCTACTTCACATGGGTTCATCATTCCCAACTGTGGGTTCATGAGGAAAGTAGGGTTCTGATTACCTAGGATCTGAGTTGCTTGACTCATTTGTCCCAATGAAGCATTGGAACAAAGAGGCAAATCATGAGAAACTTGAATTGGATTCACAGAATTTTGCGAGCATTGCATGGGTGCATGTTGGTTCACATTTTGCATTTGATTCTGGGGGAAACCCGCAAGTGGGTTCAAATGTTGAGGAATTTGAGGACAGGGCCCCCCACCAGGAATAGTTGCAGCTGCATATGGCCGCATAGGCATAATCTGGCTTACAAATTGTGGGTTGTTGTGCATAAACAACTGCCCATGTGGTTGAGATGGTGCCATCTGATTTAAGTTCTGTGGTAAATTAGAGGATGGATGCCCACGAAGTGGAGATGCTGCAATAGGATTAAAATTGTGCGGGGCATTTTGTGGAAAAAGCTGCCCATGGGATTGAGCAAGATGTTGATAAGGAGAAGGAGAACCAAAAGTAGGCATACCCAGATGACTATTTTGAACCGGAAAGCAATGGTTAACCCCATTTATCAAACAAGGAGAAGGCACCATAGGTGAACCATTAGGCATAGCCACAACATTTCCATTTAAATTATTTAAATGAGTAGTTAAATTATTAAATGGCATTGGGCACTGGGGATTTCTGAAAGCTAACTGATTGTGGCAAGCACAAGAGGAACATGGGAATTGGTGGGCAAGAGGGTTACCCAATAAATTATTCGAATTTGTGAGACAAGGATTAGGCATAATAACCTGAACCATCAAAACAGAACCAATCACTAAAAGAATAAAATCAAATATTTCCATTAAAACCAAAAAAAGGTTAGAAGCTCAAAAGAAAAGGAAGAACAAGGATTACCTGTTGGGCACCCGGATTGTTGCCTCCTTCAGTCTGCATTTTGTTGGGCATATGGGGAAACGAAGGTTGTAAAGGGAACATATTTCTCCAAAAGACAACCGAACTCTACCTACACAGTACTCCAAATTTCTTATGAACCAATGGATTTAGTAGATTCAGACTAATATTTCGTAACAAAAAATAAGCGGAGATAGAAAGAACGAGTCCTGGCAAACAAAAATGTATGCAAGCAGCGCTAAGTCTTTGCTCTTTGCTTAAAGATGAAACTGACCCTTTTTCTATTCCGCCTAAACCACTACAAAACCCTAAGAAGAGGATGAACCCTATCTCTTCTGATCAAAAAGCCCTAGAGAGTTTTAAGCAATTTTCTGTTAATCTATTCCTGCGTGGCGCTTGTTTCCTACTCTTGAACGTCCTTAACGGTCGATGTGATGCGACCGTCGAAGGACTGGAGCTGACACTGGAGTGGCGCGAATGGGTTTTCAACTGAATTTTCTTCGCCGGTCTTTGGTCATAAGCTGATTTAAACCGCCAGGAGGGGCAAGTATTACTATTACGTAGGGCTGTCAATGTGTCGGGTCTACGGAGAACCAGCCCCGAACTGATTATTCTGGACATTAATTGTCGGGTCTATCAGACTGTACCCAATAGACCTGATTGTACTGAAAATTATATTTTCATTTAAATAATACATAAATAATATAACCCTAATAAAATTGATAAAAAATATTAAATTATTTATATGTTAACAAATTAACATTTTTAACTAATATTACCTTACAATTATCTAACAAGCTTATTATTTTAAATATAAAATATGATAAAATTATAATAAAATTAAGAAAATATTATATACATTTAATAAAATAATCAGTTCAGGGTCAGAATCGTTTCAAGACAGGTAAGAAATAAAATTAATCCAATTATGTGGTTTTCACGAGGATAATGGCCTAATTAAACATTCTTATCATTAATCCAATTTCTTAGGCATAAAACGAATGTCATTGATCAAATAGTTATTGGTTCTTGCAAGTGATGATTCACACACGTTGGATGGAGATTTAGTAGGAATTTTCAGGTAGTTAACCCGCCCCGACCCTAATAGGACCGGTTTGTTTAAATATTAAAATTTTATAGGATTGGTAACAAGATTCAGTTTTGATCCTGTATCACAAGATACCCAAACTTAAGTATACTAGTAAATGTATATGTGCATTTGCACGTGGCAGTGCCTTCTATAAAGGTAGATTTTGTTTTGTTTCATATTTTCATGCATTTTCTGGTTTATTTAATTCTTATCTATCTATTGATGATAAAGTGTGGGGTGTACATGTTATTTCTCTTTTTGACCCCCACGACACTCTTTTTGTTTCATACTTATTTAAGTGGACAGTTTCTGAAGTGAGAGTAAAGGACATATATGTCCTCTTTATGCCCGTTGTATGCTTAGATAAAGGGATAGAAAAAGTTTAGTGAAAATTATCGAAAGAAATGCATTCACTCTTTTATAGGTAATATAAATTTAACATAAATACCTACTCTGGATATACTAAATATATCTTATATGCTTTATGAGAAAATAATATACATAGTAAAAAGAGTTAGAGAGGATTCAAACCTATCCCCTTTGCCCCATTACAAGTGTGCGTCTTCACCACTAGCCTATCACACCATTTTTGCTTAAAAAATACATCACATTTAACTTATGTTATAAATTTTCAATAATATTAATGAATTTAACCAATTATTAAAAGTGTCTTGGACCTCATTTCTCCCTTTCGTTAACTCTCTCTACACGCATCGCCCCTCTACCTCTCATTGCTCGTCCTCTACTATTCTCTCTCTATCATTGCCGTGAAGTCCTTTGCTACTCTCTCCCTAGCACTTCCATGGAGTGAACTGTGCCACTCTCTCCCTTTGCCACTCATTCATTGGTTCACTTGCCTTTCTCTCATTTTTAAGTACCTTTTTTTCTTGTTTTTCCTTTTAATCTTGTGGTTTTTATCCACATGATTAGCATTGTGGTTTTTATCTACATAATTAGTCCTTCTGATTGAGTTGAACACTTCATAAGCAATGTAAACATTGTTAGATATTAGCCTGCTACTGATAAAAGCACTTTGGTTCTCATCCACCAAATCATTGGGCTTTTCTTTTAGTTTGTTCACCATGCATTTTGTTTAAGGCTCTATAAATTAGATCGGTTAGGCTAATTGGCCTAAAATCTTTTTAAGAACAAGCTTGGGGATGTTTTGGGATTAAAGCAATATTTGTTTTATTAATCATTTTTGGCACAATACCTTGATCAAAACACCACTTAATACAACTTTCCACCTCTTGTCCAACCGTGTCTCAAAATTTTGATAGAAAAAGGCTAGGAAGCCATTCAACCCAGGTGCCTCCACATGGTCTCTTCCTGATCAAAAACTACATCTAGCGTGGCTTGGAGCTCAGCCTCGTTGTATAAGTTAGACTGAGTCGGGTGAGGATTGGATGAGCTCAATTTGTTTCTTCGGCTCCCTAATTTTCATATTCACAACCCCAAAAACCTCCCTATTCCAGGCCTTTGCTTGCATCAATTGACCTTGTCAAATGTCAATTAGTTTTCTTGTCGGGCTAATTGTGATATTACTCTCCTTCCTCCATGAATTTTGCATAATTTCCTTGCAGGCCTCCAAACGGAATGACTTCCTTCCTCTCCATCTATTTGGACAAAAATCCACGATAGCAAGTAGCAGGGCAATGATCAAAATGAAGTCATGCCTCATGAGACACTCGAGCATCAGGTAAAGCTAGTGCCATTTAACATTTGTTAGAACTTAATTAAGCCTCTTCCTAGGGGTGTCAACATTATTCAAAAATCCGATTTTGAATTCGAGATTTGACATAATCGAATCTAACGTAAGGGTATTTGTCCGACCTGTAGACCTTGACACGTGGTATCGGTCGGATCCATCCCGACTATCCTGTAGATCTTGACACGTGGCATCAGTCAGATGCACCCTGACCATCCATCACCAAACACACACTAGAACTCAATCTCTAAGTCACCTCTCTTGCTTGGTCTGACCCCTCAGAGCCCACTACTAACTTGATCGTCTGAGCCTTCGCCCCTGGGATAACTCCCGGGGCCTCTGACATCTTCTTTCTTTCACTCAACAAGTTGGACCCGTCAACCTCGGACACTAGAAATTATGTTATTGCCCTCGGCTCCATATTTGGCAGCAACAATTGGCATTATCCGTGGGAACGTTTTCAAAACTTTTCCTTAAGAAAAAACAAACCTAATTTAATCAACTAGTGTACCTAAAATGGCTGACAAGCAAGACCACATCCCTAACGTCCGGAATCTAGTCACGATTAACCAGTTCGAACTAGTCCTGAACAAACTGGACAACCTAGCCTAGCGGTTGGACAACATAGGGTGTCTGGCAAGAAGCCACCCACAGGGTGGCTGCCCTATTAGAAGCCATGGACAACATAGTGGGCAATTCGCCTTTACCCCACTATAGCACTTGGATGGCCCGGAGAGAGTCGATCCCTCAGAGTCAGATAGCAGCAGCCGACGGGTTGGCAAACCTCGTTCCATGGGGTTCCACGTCGAGCACAAGAACCTCGACCATCAACATCATCGTGCGACGACCAATTGCGACGACGGTGGGCACTCGGGCCACTACAGTCCCCCTCCAAGGGTGAGAGGCCGGCGCCATGCCTCTCCCCCACCAGTTTTTGACCTTCACAACCCACTCAACGATCGTCATGCCCGCAAGGCTCAGGACATGTCGGCATTCGAGCACTCCGGGAACGGGGCTAGCCCGTCTTGTGTGAGAGAGAACCAGGACCAGGCCAAAGCAACAATGTCATACGTCGACCAATGCCTCAGAGATATTCAAGCGTAGATTGGCGCCCTTCAAGATCAGCTTCGACAAGTAAAGAAGGGTTGAGATGACGCCTCCACCAGTTTCCCTACCTCATATAACCGAATGGAGGCATTTGTAGATGTTATCCTCTCCAAGCCCTTTCTGCCAAATTTCAAGGCCCCGACGTTTGAGACCTACAACGGGAGTACAGACCCCGATGACCACCTAAAAAACTTTCGGGCCCTCATGATCCTACACGGATATTCTGGCGCCCTCATGTGTTCGACCTTCCAAGACACATTCAAGGGAGCAACGCGCTGATGGTTCTCCACACTCCAACGCATCTTAGGAATAGTTCGCAGACCTCTTCTTAGGTCACTTTATGAGTAGCCAACGGTGTCAGAAAACCTTCCTCTCCCATATGTTTGTCAAGTAGAAGCACAGGGAGAGCCTTTGGGCATATATGAAGAGGTTCAACCAGGAAGAACTTGAAGTCAATGATCTCGACCCCTTGGTCTCCATGCACGCAGCCATCAGTGGCCTCTGGCCTAGACCCCCCCAACTGGTCCATTTCCAAGACTCCGCCTAAGACTAAAGCCAAGTTCTTGAAGAAGGTTCAAAAGTACATCGTCGCAGAAGAGGCTGAAGCCAACAAACGTATCCAAGAACCAGAAATCGATGCTAGCCGAGGGCCCAATGACAAGAAGAGGATTGAAAGAGATGGCCATAGTGACAATCCCACCAACAAAAGTGGAGAGAAGAAGCCATCAGTCCCTTCCTTCAATAAGTACACACCACTAAACTCCTCTTGAACACACATAATGATGCAAGTAAGTAAGGAGAAATTCATGAAGTGGTTGGCCAAGTTGAAAAGGAATTCGAGAAGGGGAACCCCAAGAAGTACTATAAGTACCACCACGGCACCGACCATGACACCAAGGACTGCTACAAGCTCAAAAACGATATCGAGTCCCTCATCCATCGTAGGCACTTGAAGGATTTTGTCGAGGGCAATGCCCCAGCATCATCCTCATAGCAGCCACAAGCCAAGCCTCACAATCATCACCCCCTGGTCGGAGTCATTGAAGTCATAGCCAGAGGCTCTGCCTCAAGGGGAGCATTTGCCTCGTCTCGGAAAGAATACGCCCAACAGCACAACATCCAGAGCCAAGCACCAAAGAGGCCAAGGTCAGAAGACCCCATTTCCTTATTAGACAATGACCTACGAGGGGTATTTGTGCCCCACAACAATGTGTTGTTGGTGTCAACGACCATCGCCAACTACATAGCAAAAAGGGTTCTCATAGACAATGGCTCCTCAACTGACATCCTGTTCTATGAGATGTTTGAGAAGATGCACCTGACGTCGGACCAACTACAACCCATTGGCGTTACCCCTCATCGGCTTCTCTAGGTAGCTGTCAAACCCGAAGGAAAAATAACTCTATCGATCACCGTAGGGACTAAACCTCGACACATCAAATGAATGACTAAGTTCTTGGTTGTGAAAATAGGCTCACCTTACAATGCCATCATAGGGAGGCCGACCTTTCACACACTCAAGGTGGTCATCTCGTCTTAACACCTCGCCACGAAGTTCCCCACAGAGCATGGTGTAGGGGAGGTAAGGGAAAACCAGCAAGCTGCCAGACAGTGCTACGTTGTGGAGC